ATGTGTGTCCGGATGCCTGGTCACCTCAGAGCAAAAGCTTTCAAACCTGAACTGCTATGGGAAGCACTGCACACAGAAGATAGGCTGGAACTTGCATCCTGGATTTCACCTTGTTATTGCTTTCTAAAACAGAACAAAAAACAAACATTTTCCATAGGTTTTAAACTAGACCCAGAAGCTCACAACATAGTGTTCAAAATGGCCAGAATACAAACTTAAATTACTCAGCATACAAACCAAATCAGGAAAATCTCAATTTGCAGGGAAAAGATTATCAACAGACACCAATCATGAGATTATACACAGACGTTGGAATTACCGGGAAAATCCTTTAAAGCAGCTATTATAATCATCTTCATAATACTTAAAGAAGGGTGAGCATTCTTTAAATGAATAGACTATAGAAAGTTTCAGCAAATACATAGAAGATATAAAAATAAGAACCAAGAGGAAATTTTAGAAATAAAAAATACAGTAGACAAACTAAAAAAGGATTCAGTGGATGAGCTCAATAGCAAAATGGAGAAGGTAGAGGAATGAGTCAGTGAACTTGCAGATTGATTAATAGAAATTATCCAAACTGAATTATGTAGAGAAAAAAGATTAAAAAAAATAAATAAATGAACAGCATCTCAGGGACCTATAGGGCAACACACAATGATCTAACATTCGTGTCGTTGGATCCCAGAAAGGAAAGGAGAAAGAGCATGTAGCTGAAAAATATTTAAAGGAATAATCATCGAAAATGTCCCAAATTTGGCAAAAGACATAAACTTAGATCCAAGAACCTCAGGAAACCCCAAACGGAATAAACTCCAAGAAAGTCATGCCCAGACATATCATAATCGAACTTCTGAAAACTAAAGATAAAACATCATAAAAGCAACCAGAGAAAAATGATTCATTTAATATAGAATAAGAATGATTGAATAACCAAAGATTTCTCTTCAGAAACCACAGAGGCCAGAAGGAAATGGAACAACATTTTTAAAGTGCTGAAAGAACAGGATTATCAACTCAGAATTCTATGGTATGTTCATTTTAAAAAATTTAAAAAAAAATTAATGGGAATGCTGTTGAGTATATATAGTTTCAGGGGTTGTCTCCCTGATAAGGTAATATTTAAGCGAATACCTCGTGATTCTGAGGGAAAATCGGTTCCATCAGAGGGAACTTAGCTGGAACAAAGTGAGTGAAGGAAGAACAGAAGATGAGCTAAGAATGTAAGGGGTGCCCAAGCCTATAGGACCTTGAAAGCCATGTTCAGAACTTTGGATTTGACCCTCACTTTAGATGTGCACAGTGGAGCGCCTCGATGTGATTTACGGTTTTGAAGAATCTTGGATTAGGGTGGTAGCAGTGGAGGAGGTGTGAAGATCTGGATTCTGGATCGATTTTGAAGGTACTGTCAGTAGGATTTGCTGATGGATTGGATATGAGGTCTGACGAAGAAAGCAGCCAAAAATGACTGCCTGGTTTTGTTTTGTTTTCTAAGTAACTGGAAGGTTGGAGTTGCTATTTGTTGAGATGAGGGGGACTGGGGAGGAGCAAGTCTGAGGACAGAAACCAGGAGCTCAGTTTTGTGTGTGGTGACTTTAAGTGACTATTTCAAGTCTCTTCTAGTCTGAATCTGGACCTGTGCCCAGTGCAAAGCACTTCTCAGGCCTTAGCTCAGAGCTCTTAGAAGCATCTGACAGGTGTGTATTCTTTCCCGAAAGACCCCTCTCTCTTGGCCTCCATGACACCACACTTGTCTCTGTTTTCCCTGTCCTACCCAAGGCTGGGTCGCCAGCATCCCTCTCCTGAACTACTACAGCAGACCTCCTCACCGTGGTTGCTCTCCACTCTACAGCCAGAGAGTTTTCTACAAATCTGATTTAACCACGTGACTCTTCATGCCTAAAATTCCTTCAGGATAAAATGTAAACCCTCTTCCCCTTCTCCCATCAACAATATTTACTGAGGGCCTGCCTTGGGCCAGGCACTCTGCTGGACACTGGATATACAGGCTGAAGTCTTTGTTGTCCCAAGACTTACAATTTATCTAGTCAGAGAGACTGATGACAAAGAAATCAATCAGCTAACTACATAATTAAAAGTTACGTAAAAAAGGAAACAACAGGCTAAGTGATAGAGGATGAAAAAGTGGGATGTGGATGCTGTTGAAGTAGAGTCAGAAGAGACAAGAAGGAACCAGCAGGGTGAAGAACAAGGGAGAATGCCTTAAGTGGAAGGACCACGTGAAAATCTTCCAAGGGGGAGAAGCTCTTGATATGTTCCCAGATGGTTTGGCCTGAGAGAGTAGTAGACAATTGGACCTACAGACTGCGAGAGATGAGAGAAGCTGGCAAGGTGAGTCATGCTGGACCCTGTAGCTTGAACATGGCCCCGAGAACATGTTATAGAAAGCTGCTTCTGGTGATAATTTGGGACACTAACTGGAGATGGGAGAGACGGGAAACAGGGAGACCAGGTGGAAGCCATTGCAATAGTTCAAATGGGAGATGCGGAGGGCCAAAATTTAGGCAGAAAGCGAGGGGATGAGTTTAATTAAGAGATGCTCTGGAGGTATAATTAGATTTTCTAAGAAACTGGAGATTTTTGTCACAGTAGCAACAATAAAGGTATCTAAGATTAACCACCACCTGTCTGTCACTTTGCTGTACTGTGGTCGCTTATGTATTGCTGTGATGTTGGAAGCTATGCCACCAATGTTTCAAATTCCAGAAGGGTCAGCCACGGTGGACAGGTTTCAGGGGAGCTTCCACAGACTAGGAGGAAAGCCTGGTGATCTACTTCTGAAAATTAGCCAAGGAAAGTATTATGGAGCACAACAGAACATTGCATCACTTGCTTTGGACACGTCATCAGGAGAGATCAATTGCTGGAGAAGGACATCATATTTAATGAAGTAGAGGGCCAGTGAGGGCAAGAGAGACCTTCGGTGAGATGGATGGTCACAATCGCAACAACAAACTCGAACATGCTGGTGATGGTGAGGATGATGCAGGACTGTGCAGTGTTTTGCTCTGTGGTACATGAGTCATGAGTGAGAGTCAACTTGACAGCAACTATCTATTCTTTCTATCTGTCTATCCTCTTGTGTGTCTGTCTACCTCTCTCTATCTATGATTAAACCTAGCAAGAAATGGACAGAATTTGTGTGAAGAAAATAAGGAAACTTTATTGAGTGATTGTGGTAAAAGAAGAGATATAAAATATTTGCTGCTTAGAAAACTGGCAAATCTCAAATTAGGCTGAGTTTAATGCATCTTAATCACAATTCCAATGGATATTTATTTTAGCTTGATATCTAACTTTCATTTGAAAGAACAGAAAAGCACTATAGTTTCTTTTTTTTTTTTTTTTTTTTTAAGGGAAACTTAGTTAACATTAAAACAAATATTAGCACTTATTATGGAGTCCCCGGGTAGCTCAGTTAAACGCTTGGCTACTAGCCAAAAGGTTGGCAGTTCGAACCCTCCAGAGGCACCTCGAAAGACAGGCCTGGCAATCAGCTTCCAAAAGGTCATAGGCTTGAAAACCCTATGGGGAAGTTCTGCTCTGCACACACGGGGTCTCCATGTATTGGAATCAACAGCACCCAACAACCACAGCAGCAGCGGCACTTATTATAAAGCTGTAGTGTTTAAAACAGTGTGGGGTTAGTGCGAGAGTTACAAATAGTTCAGCTGAAGGTACAGAATATCATACTCTAAAAATCCGCCCTGGTATTGATAAGAAATTGGCATATGATAAAGTATGCTGGTCACAACAGATGACTTAAAAATGGATTACTAACAGAATAAAGTCACTAAACACTGTATCTGAAAAATTAAATGTAGGAAATAAAGTCATAAGAATTTTAGAAGAAATTATAGGTCTCTGACCATGAAATGGGTTTGGACTTACTGAGCTTACAAATTCATTATTTTTACCATGTAATAATTAAAAAATTCCATATGTCAAAAAAGAAATAATAAAGCTAAGTGACAAAAATCTGGATCTGGAAAAATATGTATAATAAATATGTCAAAGAGTGGATAGGCCTTCCGTATTGCTGATATGTTTGCTAATACAAGAGGAGTTTTTGGACATAGAAAGGAATTCTCAATAGTACTTCTACTTTAATGTTCAATATTAATCATGTGGACTTGTTAACCAATCAACATTTTAAAATATTAAACAGGTAACTGCCCTCTAAATATTTGCAGAGTACTTAAACTACTAATTTATCAAGACTTGTGGATTTAATCAATTAAATTTCCCCAAACATTTAAACACTGATTCTAAACTTAGGCAAATATTTTTTAATAATAAAAGTAGACGTCTGCTCCATTGAGTTCTGGAGGTGGAAATGGGTTCTGGTGGTGGGCGAAAGTGCTGCTGTTGTCAGGACTGGGGAGCCACCTTCTGTGTGTATCTGGCAGAACTAGAAAAGTATTTCTTTAAATCAGTTAAATTCACACTCATTTCTCTCAGATTCTTCCCTGTGTATACTTTGTTATTCTTACAGAATGTGGTTTCTTTGACCACTAAGCATTCTTCATTTGACATGTCTAAGAATCTCTTATAAATTAAGAAGGAAAATGGTCAAAGGCCAGATAATCTCAAAAGAAAATCAAACGTAAGATAAATATATGAGAAAGCTGTTTAACCCAATTAGCAACTTACAAATAAGCGACAGTGAGATCCTTTTCTTATTGTCCACAGCTTACAGAGACTTATTGTGAAGATAACACTCAATGCTGACCAGGGTTTCCTAAGACAGGCTGTTTGTTGCTTGTGGTAGTTATTTTAAAAATAGTAAAAATATTAGAAGGAAAAGGTGAGTGATGATATCTCTGATGCTTGTTTTCTTCTTTATAATTTTCTACGTTTCTACAAGTATAATGTATTGATTTTCTAGCCAGAAGGACATATTGTACACATGGCTATGTGGACACATTTTTAAAGGCACATGTCAACCTCTCAAGTGACACTTCGGTTTTGATGTGTAGGTGTTCCCTCTGGCTCGCGTGTGCAACGGCACAAATAAGATGACATTAATCAACCCCCAAGGAGTGAAGCTCGACATCTACAAGCAGAAAGTAGAACAAGCAATTCGGTCCTATGAAAGGTGAGTATCACTCCCGGCCTCTCGCAAATGAGTGTGGATCTTGTTTGTTTTCTCTTATTTCAGCTTGGACTTTTCATCTGAAGCAGCTATTTTAAAAATTCACCATGAGGAATATCAACAGCAGCATCAGCTAACATATTTACAACAGAGTTTAAAAAAAAAAAAAACCCATCTTGCATTTCCCAAATCGTAGAAATTTCACGTTTCCATGACATCTTTGAAGGTTTCCTTTTAGCAGAGCGAATTTGATCATTCCACCATCTAACGTTCTATAAAGTGACTGATAAAACTCTGCAGTACGATGAAATAATGGAGATATATAAGCGTATATTATTATTTAAAAAATTATATGAGGATCAAGAAGATAACCAGATTTACCGCAGTGAAAATTACACTCTTGAGCAGTCGCTGTGTCATGCCGACATAGGAGGCTTCTTTTCACAAGGGCCTGTGAGCCAGTCTTCACCTCCCACCCCATCCCCAGCACGAACTGTGATTAATCCTTGGTCACAGCCCTCAGTGGAACCTCCAGCGTGCCCAGCTTCTTCAGGCAAGCCCGTTCTTGGCTCGGGAACTGTGCACTTGGGTTTTCATTGGCACTGTGTGGTTGGGCAAACTGAGGAAGTCCACAAGAGTTCACGTGGCCCAGGCAGGCGTTTACTGGTCTCGTATTCAGAAGCCTAAGGCCCACTCCTGCCTCCATGAGGTGCCCCATCCAGCTGAAGCCAGCAGTGCAGGAGCAGGCCTTTCCCTGCTGGACCCAGCCCAGACCTCTCGCAGTCTCCCTGAACCTGGGCCTCTTGCACTGGCCTCACCTGAACACTGAGGCTGCCTTACGCGAGCTCCCGCAGCTGCCTCCACCTGCTCTTTGGTGGTTTTCTGAGTCTTTACCTGATCAGGCCACAAAAACCCATTGTCATCAAGTTTGATTCCGACTCATAGTGACCCTCTAGTACATAGTAGATCTGCCCCAGAGGGTTTCCAAGGAGCAGCTGGTGGATTCAAACTGCCAGCCTTTTGGTTAGCAGCCTGAGCTCTTAACTGTGCACCACCAGGGCTCCCCCTGGCCAGGCAGGCATGAACGAGTCCAACGCTCACCCTTTCACCTGAGTCTGAGGCTTTGCTGCATGGCTGACCCCTGACACTGGCTCCGCCCTCGTCCTCCACCTCTCCTCCTGCCAAAGGAGAGACTCCTCGCCGTCAGGCTTGGCTCTTCTGCTTCCTGCTATGTTCCTCTTCCGTCATCCTCCAGCTGGCCTCTTTCCTCCCCTTCTCGCCTCAGTGCCCACCCTCCTCCTCAGGGACAATTTCCCTGGTCACCCTCTGTCCCCCACCTGCGTGTGGCCCTCAGAGCACTCAAAGCTTCCACATAGGCCCTGGGTGTGCTGACTGTCACCCAACCTGGGCAGCCTTGTTTTCTCATTTATCCTCTCTATCTAGCAAGTACTGTGCTCAATAAATGATCGGATTACCTAGATTTAAATAGTCAAGTTGAATTTTATGTAATTCACATTTAGCTGTTAAAATTCTTCAAGTTCAGACATTCAAAATGCAGTATAATAACATTATTCAAATTATAATTTAATTTGCTCGAATAATGCAAATATTTGTGTTCTGTAGTTACCCTGTGTGGAAGCTCGGTACAGGGGCCAAGCTAGAGCTTTGAGGCCAGGCCCTTCTGGGCTTCCTGCTTGGCTCTGACGCCAGCTCTGGGGCAAGCCACGTGACAGTCATGACCCCGGATTCCTGACTGACAACACTCTTCTCATGGGGCTTTTGTGAGGAGTATTTGAGCTTTATATGAAGAACAATTAATATAATCACTTCCCCTTTCATTCTCTAAGTCTGCCAGTCCTAAAAGAACCATAAATACACCAGGTGTCCTAGTCACACGGCTCTTCCCACTGGCTTGCCCTTCCCAAGGGTTTCCCAGGCAGAGGAGAGGCCTTCTTCATTAATAGCAAAACCAAAATACAGACATGGTAAGTGATTTGTTCCATTTCTCACTCCCAATGAGTAAAAGACCCTGGGAAAGCCTTTTAGCACCCTCTAGAGAAATACGGGAGCCCTGGTGGTGCAGTGGTTAACAGCTCGGCTGCTAACCAAAAGGTCAGCCGTTGGAATCCACCAGCAGCTCCTTGGAAACCCTATGGGGCAGTTCTGCTCTGTCCTATAGGGTCACCGTGAGTCGGAATCGACTCGACAGCAACGGGTTTACTTTTTTTCTTTTCTTTTTTTTCTATTTATAAAAAAGATTAAAGAAACACTTCCAGATGCATTTAAACATCTTTAACATAATAATACAGTAATAATAATAATGATGTTTTGATGCACACAGCCATTTATTATTATGAACCATTGTTCGTAGCGTGAATTTTTAATATAATAGACGTCACGGGGTTGGTTTGTAACTCCGGGTTGTACGTAAGTTGGACGTTCATAACCTGGGGACCGCCTGTATTATCATATGTTCTTATCATTCATATTAGTATTTAATAGTATTCAATAAATTAATATTAGTTAATATTCATTTGTATTTACAGTAAGTACTTTGTTTTCATTATTTCATCATATTAATATACAGAACAAAACTTCCTGACATTTTGCATTCAATAGTATTTAAGAATTTTTTTTGGTATATGTGTCAATTTCCTTCTTGCTCCACCTTTCTAAAGATATACAGAATATGACAAATAATTGGTGAAACTTGGGTTACCCTCATCCTACTCCCAATATAATCTTTCTAAGGAGTCTCCTGTGAAAAGTAAGCCAGATACAACCCTAAACCCAAATGGTTAGGGTTGACCAGGCAAATGAGAAGCTCACAGCCATTTGGTCAAAATAATGCCATCAACGATCTGTTTTGGTCACACTTAGTACCTGTGTGCGTAGGTCCTTCTGTTTCATATTTTAAGAATTGAGGCAGCAATTTTGGTTTCTTATGTCTCAGCATTAGCTTTGGGTCTGTATTGCCAGGGCTGGGTGGATTCTGGGGTGATTTTCTGCGGCTTATTTTGACTGCGAGTCTACCGTCAGGGTGAGAGGCCTCAGGCCCACAGGAGAAGCATCCACTCCACCCTGACTCTGGGACCGTTCTCGGAATCCTCTGCTTAGGGCCTCCCATGTGCAGGGGCTGCCAAACAGACTTCTGAAGGGCCGTTGGTCACAACCTGCTTTGAAACTGAGTTTGGCCTTGGTGCTAGTAAACTGGAGAACTAAAACAAACAAACACACAAAAAACCCAAACCCATTTCCATCAAGTCGATTCCGACTCATAGTGACCATAAGGACAGAATGGAACTGCCCCACGGGGTTTCCAAAGAGCAGCTGATGGATTCGAACTGCCGACCTTTTCGGTAGCAGCTGAGCTCTTAACCACTGCGTCATCAGGGCTCCAACTTGAGAACAAGCAATACAGAAATCTAGTGAATGCAACCCCGCAACCAAATTTCACTCTCCTAAAGCAAAGAGGACAACTGGTGTTGGTAAAATTCCCGGTTCGAGAGGCTGACCAGCCTGGGAGGGGCCCTCATGGCCAGCGCCCTCCTGGCCTCCCGTAGGGACTTGTCTAATCCCACAGGCTTAGCGACTTTCCTAGGGCCGTCTCCCCTGTCAGTGGGGCCCGGGTCATCACACCCTCAGGCTGCCCTTCTCTTCGCTCCCAGTGTTTCGGCCACAGCATCCTGCCCTGTGCGCTTTGAAATATTTCAGCGAAGAGGGAAAATGGGAGAATAACAGAAGTTAGGAAAATACTCTCTTGGAAAAATACTTTCCAAAAGATCAAATTAGGCTTAGAGACGTGTGCTGACTAACGGACCCACATTCACCAGCAGTTTCTCAGGTGTCTAAGCCTCGTCCCTTCTACACACCCTGGAGGGAACAAGTGTTGAGCTACTCCCGGTGGCTTTCTACATACACATCTCCTTAATCCTCTCAGCACCAAGGCGAGGTGGTACTACCCTTGTTTTGTGGATGAGACAGTGGAGTTTCATTAAGTTCCGTGATTCAGGATCACACAGCAACAAAGTGGGGATGTTGAGATTTGAACCATGACCTATGTAGCTCCAAAGCCCTCATCTGCACCCCACGCCTCCACTTGAAGGCTTAGACTGAAGAGGATTTTGAATAAAAAATTTTCTGGAAAAGCACACACAAACCCAAAAATGCATACTATGAATCTTTTTAACAAGTCTTCAAAATCTGGATCATTGTTACATGAATCACATGATTAAAGAAACCCAATTTCTAAATAGGCCCCAAAGAATCCAAACTTCCCGTGAGACCAAGGCATGGAGGTGGTTTAGTTCCTTCTCTCTTCCCGACTCTTTTTCTGACACAGAGCGTGTGCCTGTGCTGGATACAATTCCACGAGCCGTGCACACACAGACTCACTGAGTCCTCACAGCTGCATTAGAAAGGTACTATCCTTATCCCTGGAGCCCTGGTGGCATAGAGGTTAATAGTCTGGCTGCTATCCAAAAGGTCAGCAGTTCAAGTCTACCAGCTGCTCCTTGGAAACCCTGTGGGGTAGTTCTACTCTGTCCTATGGGGTCGCTGTGAGTTGGAATCGACAGCAACGGGTTTTGGTTTTATCCGTATCTCCATTTTACAGAAGAGGTGGGTCTTGGCCAGAATCTCTCAGCTAGTCAGAGGAGGAGCTAATCGACCTTGGGCCTTCTGGCTCCTGAGTGTGTGCTCTGAGCCACCATGCCAGGCTCATGATGGCAGAGCTGGCAGGAGGGCGTCCCCGGAGGTTTGCAGAGAGCCAGCCTCTGCCAATGGGAGTCCAGTGGTTAGGGGCCTGCCTCCTGGAACGACGCAGCATTTCCCACCTCATTTTATTGAAGCGGTATTTTCTCCACGGAACACTCACTCGTGACCCCCGGAGCCCGTGTTCTGCGTCCTGCACCCCAGGAAGCCTGATTTGGGGTGATGATGTAGCAGAACAGAACTGGGCTGGAACCTCTGAAAGAAGCATCAGCGACTAGTAACAAGGAGAGGAGCTGTCACTGACCTACAGACCCCACTGGCTTCAACCTCCTCCTTTCCCCTTGCGGTGACACCGTCTCCCTGGAAACATTCAATGATGAGCGTTAGCCTCCGCGTAGCCATCGCTTTGTGAGTGGATGGGCAAGCCGGTCACTTCACCTGTCTGCACCTCTCACAGCCTCACCTGGTAGATGAGAGGTCAGGTCGGATGATCTCTGAAGTGTCCTGACCCTATTATTTATGACTCTATTAGCCTCTTTTGCTCTGAGAACCCAGGCAGAAAACAAGGCAAGCTAAGAGCCAAGTTATTTTTTTTTTGGAAGAGAATGGCAGGTGTTTAGATTCATTACCCAGAAAAACAAACCAGGTGTCGTCAAATGGATTCCGACTCACGGTGACCCCGTGTGTTTTGGAGGAGAACTGTGGAACTGTGCTCCACAGAGTTCTCAGTGACTGTGACCTTTCAGAAGCAGATCTTCAGGCCTTTATGTCGAGGTGCTTCTGGGTGGATTTGAATGGCCAGCCTTTCAGTTAGTAGCCAAGCTCGTAACCGTTTACAACACTCAGCGACTCCTTAGAAACACTAGTGCAGACATAGTGAAGACCAGTTTGCTTACTGCCTTTACTCGGCCTAGGTTTTATGTGCCTGAGCTGAGTGCTGGTTCTTTATTTGACACAGTTGCCCCAGTGCCATCAGCTGGGCTTCAGCAGTGACGCTGCGGGAGGGAGACGCTGTTACCCCAGCTCTTTAAGCAGATGACGGTTGCTTGGCCCAGTGGTGGTGGCGCTTTGCCGAGGCTCCCCTGCACTTTCTCTCAAAGCCTTTTGCAGTGAAATGCAGTGTCGCTGCTAAATTACCGCTGTTGCTCTTTCTTTTAACAGGCGCTTGAATAAAATCGTTTGGCGAGCATTATCTCCAGAGGAAAAAGAAAAGTAAGTCGCCCCGGCCCTCCTCATTTTCTTTTTTTATTTTATTGTGCTTTAGGTGAAAGTCTACAGAGCAAATTAGTTTTTCATTCAAAAATTTATAGATGAATTGTTTCGTGATGTTGGTTGCAACTCCTGCCATGTGTCAGCACTCTCTCCCTTTCTACCTCGTTCCCCATGTCCATTCGTCCAGTGTTCCTGTCCCTTCCTGCCTTCTCAGTCTTTGCTTTTGGGCAAGTGTTGCCCGTTTGGTCTCGTAGACTCGATTGGTCTAAGGAGCAAGTTCCTCCCATGTGTTATTGTTTGTTTTATAGGCCTGTCTAATCTTTGGCTGGAAACCCTGGTGGCGTAGTGGGTAAGAGCTACGGCCGCTAGCCAAAAGGTCAGCAGTTCGAATCCACCAGGTGCTCCTTGGAAACCTATGGGGCCGTTCCACTCTGTCCCACAGGGTCACTATGAGTCAGAATCGACTACACAGCAATGGGTTTGGTTTTGGTTTTTAATCTTTGGCTAAAAGATGGACTTTGGGAGTGGCTTCAGTTCTGAGTTAGCAGGGTATGCAGGGGCCATAGTCTCGGGCATTCCTCCAGTCTGTGTCAGACCAGTAAGTCTTGTCTTTTTTGTGTGAATTTGAATTTTGTTCTACATTTTTCTCCCATTCTGTCTGGCACCCTTTATTATGATCTCTATCAGAGCAGTTAGTGGTGATAGCTGGGCACCATCTAGTTCTTCTGGGCTCAGGCCGGTGGAAGCTGTGGTTCATGTGGTCCATTAGTCCTTTGGACTAGTATTTCCCATGTGTCTTTGGTTTTCTTTCATCTCCTTTGCTTCAGATGTGCCCTCCTCCTTTCCTAAGGCAAGGTTTGAACTGAGTGATGGGTGTCAATCTGATGCTCATCCTTTGCTTGTCCAGCCACACAGCTGATGGGTTCTCTTCCACCTTCCCTGGGGGCTGCCAATGAGCCTGGAGGCGGGGTGCAGAGCTAAATCAGGCAGGGGCCTGCCCTCCGAGAGCTCCCACCTTGTGAGAGCCGTTCTGTGTGGGCATAGACAATAATAACACAAGACCAAATGAGACAGAGAGAGACACACGGAGTTCTGGGAATTGATGTTGAGAAGGAAGGAAGGTCAGAGAGAGAAATCCCTTCCTGCTTGAGGTAGAGTGGTGGTTAAGGAATTCGGAGGGCGACAGCATTCAGCAGAGTCTTCTCTACCATCACCTTTGCCCGAGCTGCCTTACTGAGAGCTGGCTCGTGTCAGGCGCTGCACAAGGCACCCCACCCTGTCATTTCATCTAATTCTCAAGGCGTCCTCGTGTGAGGGCCTTATCCCCACTTTCCAGCCGTCTCCTGCAACCATGTGGTCCTGCAGGAGCACCCTCAGGGCAAACGGGGGGTAGAAGGGGGAGCGGGCAACACTCCACGTTGGAAGAAGCCTTCAGAGGATTCTTATGCCGCTCAAGTTTGCGAATCACTGGTGCAGAGAGAGAGTCATTTCTCCAGGGCCACACGGCTGGTGAGTACCCGTGTTCGCGGTCTACTCCAGGCCTGTCTTGCTCTAAAGCTTATGTTCTTTTATGTTCCTGATGCTTAAATAACCAAGTCCTCCTTCTAACACCATTCCCAAAGCCCAGGTTTTCATGTGGTGATATTCCTGATACTTAAATAACAAAGTCTTTCTTCTAACACCATTCCCAAAGCCC